GCTGACCCATTTAGTCATTTTTTTTTCCCCTCCACCATATACAGGCTGCATAAATTAAGGGTCGGTTTACATAACCTGGCAGTTTCCATCTTCTGTGTCCTCCTGGCTCTTACATGGATATAAGGATCGGTTGCTGGCACTAATAGATAATGTAGGCTATAGTTAAAGAAATACGAACTTGCTTAGAAGTACACAATATTTTAAACATCATTTTCTGTCCATGTTTCTGTAGGTAGACTAGTTTCTCAAGCTCTATTGGGCAAGGCCGGGATTCAATCCCTACTTAACATACACTCACTGTCCACTCATTTTGACGTGTCCGATGATCCTAGAGTAACAGCCAAGAGCTATGTGTGGGGTCTTGAGCCAGGAAAATTTTGGTGGGTCTATAGCTTAATAGAATATGAACCTGTGGCCCCGGTGCGGCAGTCTAGTGGCTAAGGCCTTCCGCTTACACATGCCGGGATCCCTTAGGAGCACCGGTTCGTATCCCAGTGGCCCTGCTTCCCATCCAGCTCCCTGCTTGTGACCTGAGAAAGCAGTAGAGGATGTCCGGCTCTTGTGGCCACTTGGGGAGTGACTCAACATAAGGAGGCTCTTTCTCTCTGTCTCTCCTCCCTTCTGTATCTGACCTTCCAGTCTAAAAAAAAAATAAAGAAAGAAATCTTCAAAAAGAAAGAATGGGAACCTGCTGGAGCTTTGTTTGTTGAGGTTTTTCTGTTTTGGATTAAGGACACGGGATTCAAATGCATTAACTCGGGAGCTGAAACCTGGGGCATCTGTACTAGGAAGTTATAGGAGAGAGTATGTGAAACTTCTATTACAGCGAAAGCTCTTCTGTGAATCTTAGACTCACTTTGGAAAGATTGCTTCATGTATCTTACCGCATCCAAGTGGTAGCTATTTTGAAAATTTGGTATCTTGTGTTAGAAACAAATGCAGCTTAATTTGGGATCAGTCTGAATGATATTAGACTGATGATTGAAAGTTGCTCAGATATAATCTAGAAATAGTTTAGCATGCATTTATTTCTGCTTGGCACATTTGTACAGCTTTGTAGACAACCCAAGTTTTGTTTTTTTGATTGTGCTTAGGATACATCCTGTGTTAGAATATTCACAGGCAAACCTTTGTTGAAGGTTTTAAGATCAACAACAACAAACAGGAGGGTTTCTGGAAGAGGCTCTGATGAGGTTTCACAGGCTGGCTGCACGGAATCAGGTGTGCCCACAGAGAGGAAACAATGCAACTATTGAGGCAGGCCCAGCAGAAACAGGTGAACCAATTGTTTACCCTCGGACAACTGGGTCCTTCAAATTTTCATCTGTAGATCAGTTAACCTGGCTCTGGGTAGCCACAGCCTATGCTTGTTTTAAAGGGGAGAAGAAAGGTCTATTTGCAGGTAGTTTGCCACAAAAAAAAAATGTGTTCCTTTATTACAGAGGTGTCTTACAACAACTGTTCCTACAGCCTGGCTCCTTCGGGAGCTGCCTGGCTCAGGTCACAGTGTCAAATGGGAAACTGGGTTATTTCATAGGAAATCTCTGCTTTATTTTGAAGCTTGCTTTCTTCCTCTTTTAATAGAATTCAGATGAGATCGGGCACGTTCAGGGTGGTATGGCTGAAGACTTTTGCTATGACTCAAAAATGTGATCTTTATGTCCCTTCGATGAACTTTAGGAACAAAGAGTGTGTTGATGTCGCTATCTGTTGCTACCCATGCTTGTGGAGCTGTGCAGTTTCATTGGTGGGCAATGGTTCCTTCAAGTTTCACACAGCTAATGCAGACATTTCATTTTCCCTGCCAGCAGTCCATCCACCCATGTGGAATTCATGGCTGGTTCTCCTTCAAGCAGCTTTTTTTTTTTTGTAAGATTTATTTTATTTTTATTACAAAGTCAGATACACAGAGAGGAGGAGAGATAGAGAGGAAGTGGAGCTGCCGGGATTAGAACCGGTGACCATATGGGATCCTGGGGCATTCAAGGCGAGGACCTTAGCCACTAGGCCACGCCGCCGGGCCCTCAAGCGGCATTTTTAGGAAAGGTTGCAAAGCATAAAAATGTATGCCTTTCTTTGTCTCAGCGATTACATTCGTATGCATAGGTTTCAAAAAATTTTTTTGCATTAGGACGAAATTTTAACTCCATGAACTTTTTGAAATATTTTTAAATTGACTTACTGTCTGTGCTAACTTGCTTGAAAGATACTGACTCATTCACAAGCCGTATTTAACACAAAAATCAGCCTGTGGGAAAGCACGGCAAACCTTGAAGTCAGGGACATGCGTTTGGCGTAGCAGTTAAATCGCTGGTACACGCACACTTCCACCTCACACCGAGTGCCCGAGTTTGAATCCTGGTTCCATGTCTGATTTTAGCTCTTCCTCTTGTGGACTGTGGAAGGCAGGAGCTGTTGGCTCCGATGACCATCCAGCTCATCCTTTGTCCTGGTCAGTCTCCCTGCTTGCTGTGGCCATTTGGGGAGCAAACCAGCGCATGGGAGACCTCCCTCTGCCAGTCAAGTAAATACAAATTGTAAATGAGACGCAACAAAAAAGGTTTTTTTTTTTTTTAAATGATTTATTTATTTACTATTGGAAAGGCAGATTTACAGAGAGAAAGATCTTCCATCTGCTGGTTCACTCCCCAAGTAGCTGCAATGGCCAGAGCTGAGCCTATCCGAAGCCAGGAGCCAGGAGCCTCTTCCAGATCTCCCATGCAGGTGCAGGTCTCAAGGCTTTGGGCCATCCTCGACTCCTTTCCTAGGCCACAAGGAGGGAGCTGGATGGGAAGTGGAGCAGCTGGAATACAAACCAGTGCCCAAATGGGACCCTGGGCACATATAAGTCAAAGATTAAGCCACTTGGCTATTGTGCCAGACCCAACAAGGAAGTTTTTTGTTTTTTTTTATTATTATTTTTTAAATTATTGATTAGGGCACAAAGGGTCAAGGGCTACAGGAAAGTGGGCAAGACCATTGTTTCCACATTCTCTCTCTCTTTTTTTTCTGTATCTGGCATAAGAGGGAAGATAAAGGGAGAAGCCCCACCCAGCCTCCCACCCATCCCAGGACCCCGATGTGGGGCATGCTCCTAGGGCACCACTCAAGTGGTTTTGATAGTTCAGCAGTTCTGAATTGCTGCCAATCTCGCCACTCTTAAGCACGATGAAATCCCTCCAGAATCCACTGGCTGACATAGTCCACCTTACAGTCTCTGCCCAGATTTTCACTGCCAACATATGGCTGGGGTTGTTGATTGATTTGTTCTGTCCTCCATCCTCTGATACGGGACCAGGAGTCCTCAGAAGTTCCACTGTACTGCCATATCCTCCACGTGCACCTGGATATGCTGTCCACTGCTCCGACTGAGCCACTGAGGAGGCTCAACTTTGACACATGCACTCCATGGTCAGACCATGGAACCTGCACTTCTCTTCATGGTTGGGGTTCTGAGATCAGCAGTTCAATTGGAGGGATCCCCAAAGAAACTTCATCTGAGGTGATCCCAGACCTGATTCTTGTGTATGTTAGCCACTACAGGGCCTGGCACAGTCTGTCGCCCCAATCAGCTTATGCACATGCTGGTGGTTGCAATTGCTGGGTCAGTTCTGTTTCCAGCCTGGTCTTCTACACAAACCAATGCATGTTGCAGCCCAGCCCCATCCTGCCCACCACACACTCGGCCCTCACGCAAACCAGTGGGAGCTGCAGCCTAGTCAGAGCGACCCACCATAACCCCCACCAGGCCAGCCCCTTGCCCTGGTTCCTGTACTTGCCAGTTAGTACGGTATATTGGTACCATCTGTCCCACATCCCGTTCAGCTCTCATGCAGGTCAATGGGCATTGAAGCCTAGTTCAACCCAACCAGCCCCACTATCCAGCCCACACACACGCTGGCCTGCCACAGTCCTGGTTTTCACGCTCTCCAGTGGGAGTGGTAACCCAAGAGGGAGGTGCCCACTGTTTCCCTATGGGCCCACTCCCACTCCCAGATCATGCATTCTCCAGGTGCTTCTGCAGTTTAACTTGACAGAGTTAGCCCCCAGTGCCAGCCTCTGTAGGAACAGTCAGCCCAGCCTGGATTTTCCCCTGATCTAGCTCACATGAGGCCCACAGGTGTTGTAGCCCTGCCTGGTCTGGTCTGTCCCCATCCCAACTCACGCTCTCCTGCGGGAGTGGTGGTCCAACACGGGAGCCCTCCTCATTCCCCCTACTGGCTTTGCCCCATCTTTCCCCCTCTCAGTTCTCGTGTGCACTGGTTGGCCCAGTCTGGCATGGCCCGCCTCACCTCAACATTTGCCAGTAGGTGCTGTAGCCTGGCCCGGCCCGGCCCAGTGCACTCCCAGTTCCAACCACACTGGTGGGGGCTACAGCCTGGCCCAGCCCAGTCGGCACCCAGTCCCAGCTGTAGTGTGTACTGGTATGTATTGCAACCAAACCTGGCCTGACCCACTCTCTGTTCTTGTCAACAAGGAAGTTTTAAAAGTCGTCTGTGGGTCTGGGGGGCACAGCAGAAAAGCCATCACCTGGAGAATCAGGCCTGGGAGCAAACCAGAGCTCTTTTTTTTCCTGTTTTTTTTTTTTTTTTTTAATCTGATCCTGGCTTTTCCAAGTCCCTTCCGCTGAACCACCGATTTAAGATTGTCACTGCTCCTTAACAGGCCGGGGAGCCACTCCGTTTCAAGCTGGCTTCTTACGGGATTTTTGGTGTCTGTGTGTGACTGTGGTTGTGTTAGGGGATTGCCATTTACCAATCACATAGTTTGGATATATATGTTTTTATATATCGTCTGGCAGCATGTTGAAAGTTGTGGAAACGTGTTGTAAGCCCGTGTTCAGCTCTCCACTGAGCATGTCTGTGTTCTGTGCGCCCACCCGGAGAGCATTAACCCAGCTGTTCCCTGCTTTAACCCAGCTGTTCCCTGCTTTAACCCAGCTGTTCCCTGCTTTAACCCAGCTGTTCCCTGCTTTAACCCAGCTGTTCCCTGCTTTGCAGACTTGACGGAAGAGCGGCTTGGGGACAGCAGCTCGGCAGACAATGCCGAGGCCTTCAGCGACAAAGACGTTGACCAAAGGAGCTCTCCCGACGACGTGGCCAAAAGCAAGGGCTGCTTCACCCCGGAAAGCCCCGAGATCGTGTCGGTGGACGACGGCGCCTACGCTGTCCAGAAAAACGGGGGCAACCCCGAGAGCCGACCCGGCAGCCCCAAGTACCACGCCGAGCAGAGTCACCTGCTGATCGAGGGCCCCTCGGGGACCGTGTCCTTGCCCTTCAGCTTGAAAGCCAACAGACCCCCACTCGAGGTGTTAAAAAAGATCTTCCCCAACCAGAAGCCCACGGTCCTGGAGCTCATCCTGAAGGGCTGCGGGGGCGACCTGGTGGGCGCCGTGGAGGTCCTGCTGTCCAGCCGCTCGTCGGTGGCCGGCGCCGAGCGGACTGCAGCCGAGCCCGAGAGCCTCGTGGTGCCCTCCAACGGGCACCTCTTCGAACACACCTTGAGCTCCTACCCCATCTCCTCGTCCAAGTGGTCGGTGGGCTCGGCCTTCCGAGTCCCAGACACGCTGAGGTTTGCTGCTGACTCTGGCAACGTGATGCCCAGCCCGCTGGCCGTGCCCCTGCAGCACCCTTTCCCCCAGCCGCCCAGGTACCCGCTGATGCTAAGGAGTACCCTGGCCAGAAACCAGTCGAGCCCCTTTTTGCCCAACGACGTCACTCTATGGAACACCATGACGCTGCAGCAGCAGTACCAGCTGAGGTCGCAGTACGTGAGCCCCTATCCCAGTAACTCCACCAGCGTCTTCCGGAGCTCGCCCGTGCTCCCCAGCCGCCCTGCCGAAGACCCTCGGCTCTCCATCCCCGAGGAGGGCTGTCCCATCGTGTCCAAGCAGTCCATGTACGCCGACGAGGACTACGATGAGCGCTCCGACTCCTCGGACTCCAGGATACTCAACACGTCCTCCTAAGGGGGGGACCCCTGACCTGTCCTGCTCAGGGGACGTGTTCCGTGTTCCCCCTGCCCCCAGGAGAGGCCACTTGTCACGGAGATCCCTTTCCTTCTGTGCTTGATCCTATACATTAGCAATAAAAGCATAACTTATTTAATTTCTTGCACTTCACTGCAAAAATGCCAAATCGCTTTGCTGTGTGGCTTTAGTGCTGGATGTCTGTTGTCAAGGAGGAGTTTGGGGGGGCTGGGCCGCGGAGGGGGTGTCCGTGGGTGTAGAGGTGAGCCTTGCTCCTACACCCAGGATGCTTGAATGCAGTTTCCTAGAAGAGGATTCCTCGGGCTGTCCCAAACCTGAAGGAAGTGGTTCAGTTGCAAATGGACGAGAAATAGGGACATTCTATTCTGATGCTAAAAAAAATTAAATCCTTGCATCTGAGAGACCACACTTAAGAACAGAGTGAACTGCTCGCGTGCTTCCTTAAGCTTGGACAGTTCTCAGAGACAAACCCCCACTAAGAATTCCTCTCCTCACATGGCTGGAATTGAAACATGTGTGATGTCCATGTAAAACGAATCACGCCTGTGAACTGCATGAAATGTATTGTAAAATGAACACCTGTAGCATGCTAAGGACTCTAGACAAAAAAAATAATAATAAACAAAGAAGACGATGGTCCTGGTCCATGTCGTTCCTGCTTGTGGAAGAAGATCTCTCTCAAACTAGAGAACGTGTTGTGAAAGCCATGCGTGGGTTAGGATTCAAGGTATCAGGGAAACGGACTGGCTTGAGAGAAAAAAGTTTTAGGGCCGTGTTCAAAAAAGATAGAACTTTTTTTTTTAAAAGATGTATTTATTTTTATTGAAAAGGCAGATTTACACAGTGAAGAAGAGACAGAAAGATCTTCCATCCGCTGGTTCACTCCCCAAGCGGCTGCAACGGCCGGAGCTAAACCAATCCGAAGCCAGGAGCCGGGAGCTTCTTCCGGGTCTCCCGTGCGGGTGCAGGGTCCCAAGGTTCTGGGCTGTCCTCGACTGCTTTCCCGGGCCACAGGCAGGGAGCTGGATGGGAAGTGGAGCAGCCGGAATATGAACTAGCACCTGTGTGGGATCCCGGCGTGTGCAAGGGGAGGACTTTAGCCACTTAGGCTACTGCGCCGGGCCCGAAAAAAGACAGAACTTGTTTAGGAAAAGAGTTAATTCATTCCCTCTCCCTATTTTTTTTTTTTTTTTCCTTTTAAAAAGATGATCTATGTTGAAAGAGTTCCAGAGAAAGGGAGAGACAAGGCGAGGGAGAGACAACAGTCTTTGCAAGTGCGGATTCACTCCCTGGACGTGCACACACTGAGCGCTCACTGTAGGAGACCCTGTGCTCCCTGTGGCCTAGTTCAGGATTCCCAGAGTCTGTGGCGAGCCGGAATTAGCAAGGAGAATCCCATGAACACGATTGTGGCAATGAAAACACAGCCAGCAACACTCAGCTGAAAGCGCGAAGGAAGAAGGTGCTTGGTCTCGTACCTCCCCTAGAACTGACTCGGTCAGTAAGGGCTGCTGCCCTTGATATAGTTGAGCTAGAAGAACTGTGTGGTATTCTGAGGCAGAACTAAACTTTTTCCCTTTCATTAAAAAAAGCCTCCTGGGGGCAGGGGGTGCCAGATTACCGCAAACTTTTAGGTTTTGTTTTAGAGAGAATTTTCAAACAGTAGTGTTCGGGGATGCCCACACCAGCCATCACTTCCCCGACTTAACTGTTTCCATTCTTCAAAGTGCTTGCAAGGTAGATGAAAAAGAACACTCCATCTTCAAGGAACGCTTTTGGAATGAGAAGTCTTTGAGGGGGGAACATTCCTTGTATGAATCGAATTAATATGTGTTTAATTGACATGGTTACATACCAGAGTATTTAAATGGAGCTTGTTGGTATGGGTTTTAATTTTGATTTGAGAAACAGAGAGCTCCTATATGCGGATTCATTTCCCCGCCAATGACTGCCCACGGTGGCCGTTCAGGGCTGGGCTGGGGCCAGCCAGGGTGGAAGACTAGAGGCTGGAGCGCAAGTCTGGGTCTCCCACATGTGTGGCAGGACCCACGACCTGAGCCATCACTGCTGAATCAGAGCTGGGTACAAGTGCCTTAGCTGGTACCCTAGCCACTACGCTAAGTACCTTCCCTAAATTTATACTGGCAGGTAGCCGGAGCAAAAGCAGAGCTGCCGTTTGAGCCAGGAACTCTGACACGCGGTACGAGCATCTATCGCCAAATAGTGACTGCTGAGCTAAATACCTGCTCCTAGATTTAGTTTGAATAGTCATTTCTTTATTTGAGAGACAGAGAGAGGACCCACATCTGGTTCAATATCCCAAAAGGCCACAATGGCCAAGTTAGGCCAGCTCTGACCGTTGTGGCCACTTAGGGAGTGAATCATCGGACAGATCTTCCTCTCTGTCTCTCCTCCTCTCTGTATAGAAATAAACACATTTTTTTTTTGCAATAGAAATAAACACATTTTTTTAAGAAGAAAGAAACAGGACTAGCGGGGTTGGAGGGAGAGCCACAGGGTCTTATTGCAGGATGTCCAGTCTCGGGTTCCAAGGGCTTGGCTCACCCCGTGGATAGACCAGGTGGAAGGCAGCAGGAGGGAGGGTCAACTTGAGAACATGTGTTGGGTGCCCAGGTAACGGGCTCTGACTGCATCTGAACTGACATCCTTGAGAAATAAACTTGATCTCACCACCTACTGTTTCATTCTCTCTATAGGCATTTACTCAGCAGAAGCGAGTCGAAGAAAGATGGATGCTAAATTTATATGTTAATTTGAATATTGAAGCCATCCTGTATTTGAAGAAGAAGATCAATGCTTCAATTTTGCTTTTTATGTGGGACTGAATGTCGTCCTTACAGGCAGGAAAAAAGAAAAAAAAAACTCATTTCCAAATGCATCCTTCCTAAATTCCGATCTCCTAAGCAAGTTTCAGAAGAGGGGGCAAAGCGTATCTGACCTCAGGGTCAGTATGCTCATATCCGAGTGTGTGGGTTCGAATCCCTGGCTCTGTCATTTGATTCTCCGCTGCTAATGCACACCCCGGGGAGGCCGTGGTGGGGTGTCCAAGTTCAAAGGCTCCAGGAGGCTTGGCAGGGAGCAGTGGAAGCAGCCTGAACCCAACACTCCCCATTTTGGTGTGTGAGGTCGGCCCTGCGCTCATCCTTGTGTGTGTGTGTGTGTGTGTGTGTGTGTGTGTGTGTGTGTGTGTGTGTGTGTGTGTCCCAGCCCTGTCCGGGAGGCCGCGCAGGTGCAAGCCAGTGCCAGGTGATTCCAGGAACCGCCTCATCTGAACAGCGGAAGAGCCACCTAAGCCTTCCAGAAGCGCCGTGACTGCTGAAGCTTAGCTTGGCAGAGCGTGACTTTGAGAAATCTAATCATTGAAATTCAACATAGATGCAAATTAATATATGAAAAACCAGCTCTACCCGGAACCAAACGTTTTGCAGAAGTGGCGTTACCTGTGATGCAGAAGCAAGCATTTGCAGACCAGCTGCTCTGCTGTGCAAGCAATTATTCCGAGTGATTGACATCTGGTAGCCTCATCTTATCACCAGCTGCAGGGCGTTGCTTGGCTTTGGGGTGTCAGGGCCTCCTCCCTGGGCATTTGGCCAGACAGCTGGGTTTCTCCTGGGTTAACGGGTGGGAATTAGCAGCTTCGGAGAGCCCAGAGGCTGCAGGATCCTGGGCGGAACAACCAGAGCCTTCCCTGTGGCAAGGCGGTCGAGCACAGCCGGACAAGCCGCAGGCAGCGAAGTTAATGAATGGTCTGCCCGACTCTGCTTCCCCCTGGAGGTCAGAGGCGGTAAATGGGTGAGACCAGCGCTCCCCCTTCTGCTTGGTCATCAATCCTTTGGCCAAACAAGGAAAGCAAGCACGGGGCCATTTCCTGGGCGTTTTCTCTATATTTTACTTATTTCATATGCAGGGACCTCACCCCCAAGCTGCGCGCGCGCGCACACACACACACACACAAACACACACACCGGCCCCACAGGGCACCTGCCCCCTGATCCATAAGGACCCCCACTCTCTGAGAGCCAGTCCACAGCAAGGAGGGACTGGCCTCAGCACGCCTTGTGTCAGGGCCAGGGGGTTGCATCTGGGCAGGCCGTGCTGCCCCTGGAGTCAGCGTAAGGCAGAATCCGGGCTCTGACTTCCGGGATGTGGGAGTCTTCGCCGCTGGTCCAAGCAGCCATCCCCCAAGACAAGCTTATCTTTCAATTCTGCTGTTTTCCACAATTTTTATGAAGTTCCTTTGTGTGTGTGTGTGTAAATATATGTTATAAGTATTTGTAGCAGATAAGTATATCTGAGTAATATACAAACACACGTACACAACCTATGTTATACCGATCTGAAGCCAGGAGCCGGGAGCTTCTTCCAGGTCTCTCACACGGGTGCAGGGGACCAAGGACTTGCTGCTTTCCCAGGCACAGGCAGGGAGCTGGATGGGAAGCGGGGATGCCGTCAGGACGTGAGCCAGAGCCGTTGCAGGTGGAAGCTTGGTCTACTATACCCCAACCCTAGCCCCAGGGTTTTACCGTTCTAAATGCTCCCTGGGGGGACAGACTACTGTGGAATTGGAATAAGTTGGGCAGCCGGGGGTGATGGTATTGGAAGGCTGTTGGGAAGACGCATGCGCGCGCGCGCGCGCGCGCACGCGCACACAGCCGTTCACAGGTGGGTCTGCGGGTTTCAGCAGGCCCCTCACGTCGGCTCACGCCGCTCCACGGCAGCCAACCACCACGAAACGAGTCGGTAAGCGAGTGTCTGCAGCAGGAGGGGTGATGGTTCAATTGCTTGTCATGACTTCACCCCTAACCGGGCTGATGGCGCCGTCTGTCCTTCCGACATCAGGAACTGGTGAGAGCCATTTGGGACACAGAGCAGATGAGGCTCAGCTGAAAATCTGACCAAGCTGAAAATCAGCTCTATTTATCTTAAATCTGTCTACATTAAAAAAAAAATTTTTTTTT